CCCGACACCGCCCGGGCCCCGACACCGCCCGGGCCCCGACACCGCCCGAGCCCCTCACCTGCTGCCGCGCTGTCGCGCAGCTGCATCCCGGTGAGGGGCAGGATGCCGGAGCTGCCCGCCTCCCCCAGGGCTGAGCAGGAGAGGCCGAGGTGCGCGGGACCCCCGGCCCCGGTCCCGGTGCTCCGCCCGGCCGCCGCCTTGGCGCGGCCCCGCCCGCCCCTCAGTGACCCGGGAGGCGCGGCCGCGGCCGCTCCCGCCAATCGGCGACGGCGGCGGGGCTGAGGGGGCGGGGCTGGGCGGGGCTGTGAGCCGCCGGCCGCCAGGGGGCGCTGCCGGCCGGGACTGAGGCGGGGAGAGCCCGGGAATGGGAATGGGAATGGGAATGGGGGAACTGGGAATGGGAACTGGGAATGGGAATGGGAATGGGAATGGGGAATGGGAATGGGGAATGGGAATGGGAATGGGAATGGGGAATGGAGATGGGAATGGGAATGGGGAATGGGGATGGGAATGGGAATGGGAATGGGGGAACTGGGAATGGGAACTGGGAATGGGAATGGGGGAACTGGGAATGGGAACTGGGAATGGGAATGGGGATGGGAATGGGAATGGGAATGGGAATGGGAATGGGAATGGGAATGGGAATGGGAGTGGGGAACGGGAATGGGAAATGGGAATGGGAATGGGAATGGGAACTAGGAATGGGAATAGGAATGGGAACTGGGAATGGGAATGGGGACTGGGAATGGGAATGGGGGAACTGGGAATGGGACCTGGGAATGGGACCTGGGAATGGGGAAACAAACTGGGAATGGGAAACTGGGAATGGGAATGGGAGAACTGGGAATGGGGGAACTGGTAATGGGGGAACTGGGAATGGGGACTGGGAATGGAAATGGGGAATGGGGAACTGGGAATGGGGACTGGGAATGGGGAAACAAACTGGGAATGGGAAACTGGGAATGGAAACTGGGAATGGGAATGGGAGAACTGGGAATGGGGGAACTGGGAATGGGGGAACTGGGAATGGAAATGGGAATGGAAATGGGAATGGGGACTGGGAATGGGAACTGGGAATGGGAGTGGGGGAATGGGAAAGGGAACTGGGAATGGGGAAAAAAACTGGGAATGGGAAACTGGGAATGGGGGAATACTGGGAATGGGGAGAATCTGGAAATGGGGAGACGGATTGAGTGGGTACTGGGAACAGGGATAAACTGGTAACAGAGAAACTGGGAATGGGGGGAAATTGGGAATGGAGAAAGACTGTGATAAGGAGGATACTGGCATTGGGGGAGACTGGGACTGGGGAGAGACTGGGAATGAGAGAAGACTGGAAATGGGGGAGATTGGGACTGGGCGGAGATTGGGACTGGGCGGAGACTAGGAATTGGATGAGACTGGAACACTGGGATGGGGGGAGACTGGGATGGGGGGAGACTGGGATGGGGAGGAGACATGGGTCACTCCTCGCGCCCAAAGCTCACCTGCACCAGGGGCTTCAGAGCATCACTTGACTGGAAAACAGGAAAAATACCAGAAGAGGAATCTTCATGGCAGGACAAAGGGAATAGAGCTTGGAAGAGCAGTTTTGTTCTCTTCCATTTTTTCAAGAAGACAATTTCCAAGTGACCATTATCTGTTAATTCCATTAACCATGCTGTTAAGGAATGTATTCACATTTAACAATAAATCACGGGCTGCTGGTGGTGGAGTAGCACTGAGGAGCAGTCCTGCTCCCACTGAGGAGCTGGGAGTGCTCCTGTGCTTCCCTTCATCAATTAAAGGCACAAACATTGTGTGCAAAATGCAGAGCACTGTGAAAGTTTGGATTTCTGGCACTTGAGCAATTGTGGTGTAGGGTGGGCATCCTCCATACCCTCAGGTACAAATATGTGCATGCTGATACTGAACATTTCCTGGCACGTATTCCCACAGCTACCCTGGCCTGGTCACCAAGAAAAAAAAACATTTACTTGAATTTCAATCATGTAGTTTTGGGTCCATTGCACTGACAGTGAATGGTCATATATATGTCAGAATCTGTGGTATTAATGATTCTGAGATTGTAGAAAGTCTCTGTCTGTCAGCCCCGCTGCCAAAGCAGAAGCCATAATTGGTCTGTGCTGGTTTCCAGGTTGTTTATTCTGTTTATCTCTCACATGTTCTGCTGCCCTGCCCAGCTCTGTCCTGCAGGGCAGCGTGTGGGGCTCTGCCCTCAGTGGGATGTTACAAACATTCAATACCAGAAACTCCCTGGGCTGCATTTACAAGAACGTGCCAATATCTGTCACCTACGTTGGACAGAGTGTCCCCAGCCTGAAGCAACAGAAAAATGCCAACACCACAGTGAAACATGGAGGGCATGAAGAAGGAGAAAAAGGACAAGGCACACCCAATTTCCTCCATCTTGTCCCCTTTGAACCCCTCATCTAGAATCCTAAAATTTTACTTTTGTACCCGTGCCACACTTAATTATTACTTATATCAAACACTGAGAGCTTGTAATCCATCCTTTAAGATTGAAAACTCTTTTCCATGGACAGAGATCACAGCCAGTGTCTCTGGGGGCTCTGTCCAGGGGGTTCCTGACCCCTGCCAGGGTCCCAGAC